AGCTCAGCATATGAAGAATCTGCAGAATTGCTTAAAGGACGTTAAAAGTTGGATGGAGCTAAACTTTCTTTGTCTAAATGAAAGTAAAACAGAGGTCATTGGGTTTGTCAAAACTGACCTGCTGGTAGGATTCAATAGTGCTGTTGGCTATTTGGATTTTGATTGTTGCTTTATTAGGAATCTTGGAGTTCTTTTAGACAATAACTTTAAATTTGACAGGCAGGTCAGCCCAGTGGTCCGGTCTAGTTTTTATCACTAAGACTCATCAGCAAAGTCAAGCCTTTGTTAACGGGGACCAAACGATGTGAGCACATTACCCCTGTACTGCATTCTCTTCACTGGCTGCCTGTTTCTTTTAGGATTGTTTTTAAAATTTTACTTTTGGTTTTTAAATTTTTAAATGGTCTGGCGCCTGTTTATCTTTCTGAACTCCTACACTGTAACCATCCAGGTAGAGCTCTGAGATCTGAGAATCTGGGGTCTCATTTATTAAGGATTGCGTGGAAACCATACTAAAAGTGAACGTATGACCAAAAGGTGAAAATGGCGTACGCCAAAAAAAATCAGATTTATAAAACCGTGCGTACGCATGTTTCTGCGCATCTTTCCTTTATAAATTACAGCCGCACGTCAGAGTTTGCGCACGAGGTCCCGCCTCAGGTTCTATCCTCTATAAGCCCACATTAAACCATTAACAGTCAATGCAAAGTACCTCATGAATGTTAAGATGTATTTAAATCAGTCAGCTGATCAATGTTCAAAAAAGTGATTGGTTCAGACACGCTCCGTCGTGCGTCTGGAGGTTGACAGGTGCTGACTGACAGCTGCTCACGTGAACAGAATGTCTGTAATTGACACAGATTTTCCCTCATTTTGCTTTAGAGTAATCTAATGATTTTTATTAATAAAAAAAACCTCAGCTTCAACTTAATTTTCCATCAGAGCCTGAAGGACAATACAAACAATAAAAATAAAATTAAATAAGTCAGATAAGTCCACCGCTCTTCTCCTCGTCCTCACCCCCTCCTGCCTGCTCTGTTATCCGCGGCAGACACCCCCGTCCCGCGCGCGCG